TCTCCAGGCGTTTGCGGCTTTTGTTTGGGAAATGTGACCTCGGGGTCTCGTTTGACGCCCCGCTCTCCTGTGCGGAAATTCGGGTGCCCCCAGATAGCCCAGGAGCCTCTCGCATCTCCTCTCTGCCTCTGCCTGGTGCTGTCGGGAAGCAGTATTGCGTGAAGGCTGGTGAAGCTCGAGGAGGTTCTCCAGTCGCACGGTTGCCGCAATCCGAAGCTCTTTTTCCTGGTGCTAGCTCCGCCAGGGCCTGGTCCAGCTGCATGAGGCCCGCCCCAGTTGGCGAATGGCTTCCAGCGACCTCAGCCCCCACGCCAGCTGCCCAGGGTGCTGCCGATGGCTGCATCAGGTTAGATGAGGGTCTTCTGGTTACTACCGTGAACGCCAATTCCTGGGGTACTCTCAAGAACTTCCTTTCCTCGGCCAAGGCGCATGTGGTTATTGCCCAGGAACATCGGCTCAGAGATCCTGTTGCCCTGGACCATGCTTCGAAGTCGTCCAAGTTCTTGGGATGGAAAACGCTGTGGGCGTCGGGACTACCTGGTGAGGGAGGAGGTATCTCTTCGGGAGTTTGCGTATGTGTGCGAGATGGTCTAGGGCTGTTTGAAGCTGCAGGGAATCCTGTTCTTGTTCCTGGTCGAGCTGTGGCCACCATGGTTCATGTTCCTGGGTGCGCACCGTTCTGTGTCTGCAGCCTCTACCTCATCCACAGTGAAGGTCTCTCGGAATCCAATAAAGAAACCTTGAGGGTCGTTGGGGAATACTTAGATTCCTTGGGATGTGAGTTTATCGTGGGGGCCGACTGGAACATGGGTCCCGAGGTGATTGAAGCTTCCGACTTCGGCAAAAAGCTCAGGGCCAGTACGATTGTTCCTGAAGGTCACACCCACTTCCCCAGCAGGGGCCCTCCTGATCGTTTTGATTTTTTCGTGGTGTCGGAGGCGCTCAGCCTCTGCCTCAAGAGTGTTTACGTGGATGATGACTCCAGCATCACTCCACATCGCCCTGTGTCGCTCCGTTTTCACAGCTCCCTGGGCGATCTCAAGGCTCTTGCCTTCCGCCAGCCCCCTGTGTTGCCTGTCCTCCCTCCTGTGGGACCGTCGCCCGAGCCTGGGGATTGGAGTGCTGCGCTCGATTTGGCCGAAGAAGCCTTCGGGGCTGTTGCCAATGGTGATGCGGGCAAGGCTCGCAGGCTTTTGGGCATCGGGTACAAGTTCTGGGCTGACGCGGCCGAGAGAGATCTAGCCAACTCTCTTGGGGCTGATCTCAAGGTTTTCGGCACCCGGGGAAAGAGACCCCAGGTTTACTGGAAGTCCGTGCTGCGCCCTGCGGGGCGGGAAAAGAATCCAGGGTTAAGGTCTATTTCGTGGCTTTGCAATCAGCTACGTGCAGTTAGGTGCTACCTCTCGGGTTCGGCCTTGCAGGAGGCTGGTCGAACGGTGCTCAACTCGATCCTCCAGCCTCCGACGGCCGTGGCGGTGCAGGAGTGCTCTGAGTACCACTCGCTCTTCAAGGCCAGTGCAGCCTTAGCCAGATGCGCCTCTTCCCCTGTGTTGGATCCTGAGCTTGGCTCTGATCTGGATGACCTGATCGATCAGGTTGCTCAAGCCGTCGCTGCTGCTAAGGTCACCGCTGCGAATTCCTCGCGGCTCGAGTGGCAAGAGTGGGTGCGCACAGGTATTGATGCTGGCGGTCGCAACGCGCAGAGGGCTATCAAAGACCCTGTTCCCTGGAAACCCTCCACCACCTTAGCCAGATGTGGAACCATCGTTTGCGACCCAGTGTCTTTACTGCAGGCTGAAGGGGACAAGTTTGCTGCTATTTGGGGCTCTGGCAAAGGCACTGGTGTGAACCATGACCTTCTGCCCCACGGGCGAATTTTAGAGCCTGCCGAGCTCCGAGCTGTTTCCAAAAAGTATCGCACTTCCTCTGCTGTGAGTGTCGACGGCTTCCACTGCAGACATTTCAGCCTTCTCCCCGATGAGGCTTTGCATGCCCTGGCCCTGTGGTTCGCTGTTTGGGAAGCCACTGGAGACTTGCCCAAGCAACTCTCGTGGGTTCTTATGGCCTTGTTGGCCAAGCCGACGGGCGGGTTCAGGCCCATTGGGGTGTTCCCGAGCCTGTACCGTCTTTGGGGTCGCGCCCGTCGTCGGGAGGCCCTCCAGTGGGAGCTCAACTATCCCAGGAAGTACTGGGCTGCTGGAGCCAACAGGGGAGCTGGGGATGTTGTCTGGAGGCAGGCCTTCAGGGCCGAAGCGGGCACTCGCAAGAGAGATGTGTCGGCGTCCATTTTCTGGGACCTCAGGAAGTACTATGAGCATATCGACCTGAGGTACCTCTGGCAGCAGTGCGAGCTTCTGCACTTCCCGCTGCCTCTTGCGAGACTGGCCATCAGGGCGTATGCGAGTGCGCGCTTCATGGCCCTTGGGGGCATCATCCAGGGCCCGTTTTTTGTTTCCAAGGGTTTAGTGGCGGGCTGCTCCTTTGCGACCAGCCTCATCCGAGTTTTTGCTATGCGGGCCTTCGACGAGGCCCTCGTTTCGGTTCCCAGGGCCCCTGGAGCCACGACTGATTTCGATGCCTACGTTGATGACCTCAGTCTCAGCTGCACGGGAACAGCTAAGGTTGTAGTTGCCAGCCTCACGGCGGGAGCCAAGGCGCTCCACCGAGCCATCACGACGACGCTCGAGTGCAAGCTGGCCATGGACAAAGTGGGTATGATTAGCAACTCCCCTGAAGTTTCCAGGAAGCTTTCGGAGACCCTGGGACCTCTTGTTGGGCCAGCCTGCTCTCGGGTCACCAACTTGGGCTCTGATTTTACTGCGGGCAGGCCTTTTCGTTCTAAGGGGCGCTCGGCCAAATTGAAATCCAGAACGGCTGCTGCGTTGAGGAAGACCAACAAGCTCAAGGGCCTCCAGCAGGCCCTCGGTCGCAGGTGTCTGAAGGTCTTCGCGGCGGGCCCTCTGGCTGGAGCTGTGTACGGTTCCGACTTGTATGGAATTTCGGACAGGGAGCTGCTTAATCTCAGAAGGATGGCCATGTCCTCGGTTAGGCCTAGAGCGCAGGGCAGGTCCCTCAGCGTCTTGTGTCTTCTTTCGGATGATCCGACGTGGAGGGGTTGCTGTGCGCCGCTCATTCGCTGGGCTAAGGAGGTCTGGACCCTGCATACTCACGGGTTCCCCTGGACTTTGAGCTGGGCCGAACTTAGGGATGGCTGGAGCGCCGTCTTCAAGTCGGATGACCACTCGTGGTCCAAGGTGGCTGGGCCGATTTCTGCCCTGCGTATGTCCTTGTATAGGCTGGGCTGGACCATGCCCAATTTTTGCACCTTTGTGGACGATTTCGGCCGCGAAATCTCTTTGACCCTTTCTTCCCCCAAGCTTGTTAAGGTTTTCTGTAAGGAAGCTCTTTTACGGAGCCTTGAGAGGGAGTCTGGGGACAAGTATGGTTGCGGTTTTAGGCTGTGTTGGGACGTGGTCAAGCAGCTTTTGTCTTCTAAGAAGGTTCCTAGCTCCACAAAAGGTTGGATCCGTGCCCAGGCCACGAGAGCTTGCTGGACGGCAAGCGACGTAGCAGCAGCAGGGTACGACTTTTCTGACAAGTGCGCGTTGTGCGGTAAGGACCGCGACACCCTCTTCCACAGGCTCTATGTGTGCCCTGCTGTGCAGTCTGAGAGGGATGCGGTGCTTGACAAAAGTATTCAGAATGAAGCGTTGGAGCTAGGGGCTGATCATCTCGACATGTGTCTGTACCTGTTCGGTGCTTTTAAACATCCTGGAGACTATGCCCCTCCGCCACTGACTGAAGGAGGTACCAGCCTGGAATGGTTTGTTGATTTACTTCCTGACCCCGAAGTTCCTGCTGCTGCTCCCTCCATCCCCCCCTCTTCAGGGCTCTGGGGGCACCTTTTTATGGATGGTTCGTGCCATCGTCATGTTGTGCGGGAACTTTCTAGGGCTGGTTGGGCCGTTGTCATGGTCTCGGGCTCTGGTGAGTGCCTTGGAGTTTTGAAGGGCCCCCTGTGGGCCCCGTGGCCTCAGACGCCCCAGGGTGCTGAGTTCGGAGCCCTGGCTTGGTCCGCTGTTCAAACGGAAGGCCCTGCTAAGTGTTACTCTGATTGTGCGAACGTGGTTCACTTAATGAATCTTGGTGCTGCGGACAGTGTCAGCGCCAGGCGTCAGTATGCGGGCCAGATTATTCAAGCTAGACATTTCTTTGGGCCCAACCTCGTGTCCTTTGAGAAGGTTGAGGCCCACAGAGACGCTGACGAGGAAGGGCTCTCCTCGCATGAGAGATTTGTGCGAAGAGGGAACTTCTTCGCTGACGTCTACGCGAAAGAAGGTGCCAGGCAGCACCCTGTTTTGAGTCCGTCTGAGCAGGAAGCCCTCGATCATCAGATTACAGTGTCGAGGGCGGTCCTGCTCGCGGGAGCGGAGCTCTTGCCACTTTGGCCAAAGTTGGAGTTTCGTGGTCTGACGCGGCGCGTTTCGTCGCCAGACCTGAAGGCCCCTCTTTTAGAGCTCGTCCACGACTGGTCCCAACAGGGTTCCTCCTGGCGGTGCCGTGTGTGTCTTCGCGGTTCCCGTGCCAAGACTCAGCCGCTGGGAGGTTCGTGCCCTGGGCAGTCCCGTTTGGACCAGGGTCTATTGGAGAGACTAGGCCATCGAGTCATTGCGTTCCCTTGCAGTGACAAGGGCCACCTGTACTTGTGCATGTCGTGCAAGTTTTATTCTAGCGGTGAGCAGGTCCTGGGTTTGTCCCGAAAGTGCGGGCCACCCACGGTGACTGGTTTCAGAAACTTGAGACGGCTCCGTAAGGGACAGCACCCCGATAAGAGGGGTGTATCGGTCGACATCGACGAATTCATCCCGCTATTATAAATACAGGTAATTTGCTTTGCCCTCAGTGCGCCTCTGGCTGTAGGGGCAGGCTGTCACTTCAGAGGCATGAATGTTGCATTCAAAAAAAAAGACGAGGAGGAGCCACTGTAGCAAAGCGCAGAGGCCCGCAAGCAGCGGTTCCTCGACAAGGTGGAGTTGCTGCTGCACCGGAGGCGGCCGCGGCTGGTGGGAGGGCGAGGACGAGGAGGAGTAGGAGGAGGAGGAGGAGGAGGAAGAGGCCGAGGAGGTGCCAGGTCTGAGAAGGAGGAAGATGAGGAGAAGGAGGAGGCCGAGGAGGGGGCAGGCCTGAGGAGGAGGAAGAGGAGGAGGAGGAAGTGGAGGACTGGGGCCACACAGAGGGCGTGTGTCCACCCGCCGACCGCCGCCCCCCCGCTGCCCGCAAACCGACGGGGCGCGGGCCTCGGGGCCCGGCGCTGCTGGACAGCGCGGCAGGGGAGGGTCAGACCTTCCTGGAACGGCGCTCGGTGTTCGCCCCCGCGCAGCGACGGCACGGCCTGGATCTCGACGCCTGAAGTTCTGCGACGCGGAGCCGACGCGGCCCCTCAGGACCGCGGCGCAGGTGGACGAGGCCCTCGTGGACTACACGAACAAGCTGTTCTTCGACGGCCACGAGTCCGCCAAGGGGGGCCAAGTGATGGCGGGGCCGATGCACCGTTTCCCTGGGTACTCGGGGGAGGCGAAGACTCCGCGAGCTTGGAGCTGCCTCCAGAGCAGGCGGATGCTGGCGCCTGGCTGGAGCCGCCGGGCCTGGCCGCTGGCCCTCTGGTGCGGGCTGGCGTTGCGCATGGTGGTGCGCGGAGCTCTCCTTTGGGCGGCCTTCCAGCTCACGATGGTGTCGGGCTACTTTCAGGAGGGGAAGAAACACACAGACACAATGAATCGTCGATTCCCCAGAGGATATGGCAAAATATGGGAAGTGGTGGGGAAGACAGAAACCCAGAAAATATGGAGAAAATATGGGGAATCTTCTTAGTTGTGTGTATTTATTTGTGTGTCATGGGGCCCCTTCATACTTCCGGCCCAGCCACCTGCTCACTCCGACGCGCGGCAGCAGCACCGCGCCAGCGCCCGGGGGGCGCGCCGCCGACGGCCGCTGCTGCGGTTCCCCGAGGGCAGGCAGCCGAGGAGCGAGGCGGGCCTGGCGGACGTCGGGGACATGCCGCTCCTCCTCCTCCTCCTCCTCCTCCTCCTCCTCCTCCTCCTCCTCCTCCTCCTCCTCCTCCTCCTCGCATCTGCTCCTCCTCCTCCTCCTCCTCCTCCTCCTCTTCCTCCTCCTCCTCCTCCCCCTCCTCCTCCCCCTCCTCCTCCTCCTCCTCCTCCTCCTCCTCCTCCTCCTCCTCCTCCTCCTCCTCCCCCTCCCCCTTCGGTGTGCTACGCCCATCTTCCGCGAGCTCGCCATAGGGGATCCCGAAGAGCCAGTCCGGGAGTTCCGCTACCCACAGATCCAGAAGATGTCGGGTCAGCCCTGCAGGACCTGCAGATGGACCAGCGCAAAGCGCCGCATCAAGCCCGACACCCGGGCCCAAGCATGGACGTGGCCAGACATTGCAGAACGCTCGAGGAAGTCCAGAAACGGGGACAGTGGAAGCATGCCAAGTCAATGCAGAGGTACGACAAGGCGGCGCGTCTACGACAGTCGTGGGCTCTGTTCCCGTCCGATCTACGAGAAACGCCGACAAATTGCGAACGTCGTCTAGAGAACATATTGCTCGGAAAAGGCGCAGGGGAGATTATCCTGTGAGATGGATTAGCCGCCGCCGCAAGTACGCACTAGATCTCTTCTCAGGCGCAGATTCCACAGGGCACCATGTCTTGAGGAGAGTTTTTTAATTACCACGGCTTCGGCAGTCATAATGGGGCCAACGAGGACCTCGCCCGTCCAGTGATCGCTCGGATTCGCGCAGCAGTTGCCAGACAGGAAAACATAGCAGCCGCCCTCGGTCCTCCGCGCGCGTCGTGGAGCACGGCGGCCGACCGAGGGAGGCAACCAGGGCGATCGGCCCAACATCCGCGAGAAGTCCCCGACGCAATAGAATACACACGCAGTAGGACTGCAAGCTCATGAGAATTGTTGTCCGCGCCGAGGTCCCCCTTGTGCCCAAGCATCCCATCAACAGTGGAATTTGGCCCGCGCCACGGTTAGAACGATTTATAAATATAGGTAGAATGCATGTCCGTGTCTGTGACCAGTGCCAAGTCGGAGTCCGCTGCATGAAACGCATCAAGCTCTTGCTCTTCGGTGTAGAGCCTCAGGATACTCTAAAGCTCGAAAGGCGCTGCCGCAGTTTTGGAGGGCTTTGCTCGGCCTCCAGGAGACCGCACGTCTTCTTCGAGGGCAAGGCCCCATCCGGGGCCACGTGGACCTCCCTCGCAGCGCCTTACCCGCCGAAAAAACATACTGCTTGGTAAAATGCTTGCTCAGCCGCCAAGGGGATCTAGAGGTGGCTAACATTGTTTGGCCCTCCTCGCCCTCCCAGTGAACCCTTTGGGATGTGGGCTTCCTATGCGTTCGTAAGCTTCGCCAAGACGAGTGGCACGTGGTAGCAAAAACGTTCCCACCAAATGCAGCAGCTAACCTGTCAGTGCGTGCACGGGAAAGTTGAGAGCGAAATGACATGATGTATCTGGTCACAACGAACCCGTTTAAATTGGGGGGCATTGGGACTCCGTAGTCTCTCTTCGGTTCCCGCGTTTTTGTTTCCTCTCTCGCTCGTCTTACTTCGCCCGGGCTTGTTATGCGTATGTAAGCTTTGTCAAAACGAGTAGCACGTGGTAGCAAAAGCGTCCCCCACCGAACGCAGCAGCCGACCTATGTTTGTTTCATGTATTGATCCTCTAAGGAGGGAACTCGGTCCAGTCGTCCTTGGAGGCTCGGGCCAAGCTCGTAACTGCCGGGCGGGTGCCGACCCTTTTGGGAAGCGACGACTGAGTGAGGGGGGATAAGGAGCATGACGAGGAAGGTCGGTTGATGGCCCCGACAGTGGTATTGATATTGGTATTGATGGCGGTGACGGTGATGGTGATGGTCATCGTGATGGTGGTGATGGTGGTGATGACGGTAAAAGATGCAGTAAAGGCGTTTGGGGAGCAGGTTCCAAGTCCAAAGACCAAAAAAATGGATGTACCCTGCGGGATATGTACGCTAGGGGTCCCGGCTTTGCTGCCGCAGACCTTTGCCAGCTGGCCCAGCACCGCGGCAGGAGCCGCGTTCAGCAGGGAGAAATTGTCTTGCAAACATCGGAATCGAGCGAGTTCGGGCCGAAGAGGGCCACATCATCGCATGACGCACATCGGCCCCTCTGGGGGGCACGCGTCTGGATCGGAGGGGGCAGGCATAGGCGGACAGAAGCGACGCGCCAAATACGCGCCGACGGCGCGACTCGCAATCCAAGCATGATCGACGCGCCAATTACACGCCTGCTTCGTGCGACTTGCTTGACGAGTGCACTAGTATCGATGTGCTGCTTGTTTCGGTCCGACCAAATCGCCTGCTACCTTTACGACCACCCATCGGGTGATACGGAGGTTCGGGGAGGGAGGGGGAACCAACGTCTCATTCAATCGATCAAACTTTCGATCTCACGACAGATCTCACGATCGATCGCACTATCGATCTCATTATTGATATCACAACAGATCCCACTATCGATCTCACGACCGATTTGACAATCGAACTCACTATCGATGTCACATGCTATCTCACCATCAATCTCACAACATAACTCACGATCGATCTCCCAATCGATCTCACCATCGATCTGTCCGTCGCACTCAGCATCGATGTCACATTCGGACTCACGATCGATCTCACAACAGTTCTCACTATCTGTCTCAGGGTCGATCTCACCATCGATCTCACTATCGATCCCCACTATCGATTTCACTGTCGATCTCACCGCCGGGCCACCGACGGGACGCCACGCGCCACCGACGGGACACCCCGCGCCACCGACGGGACACCGCCGCGCCACCGACGGGATACCGATGGGACACCGATGCGCCACCGACAGGACACCCCTGGCCACCGCACGCCCGGGGGGGAGGGGCGGACAACCGGCTCCATAGCCCCTAGCCACGGCGGCATCATTTTTCTCGCGCGCCCACGCAGCTTTGCCTCGCCCGCACGCACGACACAAACACGAAACCGAAACCGAAACCGAAACCGATTTCCCGGTGGGGGGCTCTCCGTCCCACTGCGTTCTCACCCCCTCACCTCCGGCCTGTTTGAGCCCTAACCCCCAGCGATCAATCAGTTTGACAATGGAATTTCTGATTTGTTATGGCGTCTTACATTTAGCGGTGTCATGCAAGCCTCCACCTCTAGAAATTATCTGACCTCTGAACGATATGTGTTAGCAAATAAGAGACTTGTATCATCTATGTGTCCCGGCCGGTGCATTTGCGCTGTTGCGTAGATCTCTTCGGTCGGCTTCGCCTCGGGGGTGGGTTCGTGCATGTCAATACCATAAGGGAAAGTGTCTACAATTGATCGAAACTGCTCGGGACTATCACCGTATCCGATGTATGCAACCAGTTCCTCGTAATACACATATGCTTCCACAGAATGCTCAACCAGCGTATATTGTTCATCCTCGTGTATATCCTCTGGCGTAGCTTGTCGATCAATATTTCTTGCCACTCTGTGTAAGAACTCCAGATGCAATTCACTGTGCGAGTGCATCGGGTAAGTCTTGTTATTCGCAGGCAATTCCCAATAGTGACTGTACATCATGCATGAAGCGTGCGTGGCCGATTGCGAAATCATATACCACATCAACAGGATTGCTAGGCTTGAGTTCCTGGATCTCTTGAGCCTCCTTTTGATGCACCTTTCAGCCATTTTGGAAACTGCGTCAACGCAAATCCAATACTGAACTAGATACACCTTACCACTTCGATTGACAGTTGCGCGAGAATTGGTCCCCATTCTGCCAGCTCACACGAATCGCCCGCCTTCGCAATTCTTCGAGACCAGGAGGAAGGCGAGGGAAAATTGCTGTTCTGGTAACCAGCAGCGAGCATAGATGTTTAGCATGCTCGCCATGACAGAACAGAAGTGATCATCCGTTGAACGTGGCGAGCATGCGTGTTTTTCGTCCTCATGCGGCGTCTCCTGCTCGAGGGAAAGAGAATCCTCCGACATCAATACGCGAGACAAGTGCCCCGGCTCCCCCGAGGTCCAACGGGCAGTGAGATGGACTCCAGGAAAGTCGAGGGAGGAAATTCGGTATGCTTCCTGCGGATCGGCTACAGTTCGTTGCAAGCTTCACGGCGACCTAGGAGGATAATGAGAAGGAGGAGGAAGAGGATGTGGAGCGGATGGGAAGGATGGTGCAGACGACGACGATGACGACGACGAGAACGACGACGAGGACGACGACGACGACGACGACGACGACGACGACGACGACGACGACGACGACGACGACGGCGGCGACGGCGGCGACGACGACGACGACGAGGATGCGGATCAGCAGTAGCATAAGGCTCTGGCCTTTGCCTCTGGGTGGCGGCCCGTGTCCTAGGCTCAGCGGCACGATCCACGACGGCGACAGGGCCATGCTCCTGGAGAGGCTGCAGCCGTGCCACGCGCAAATCGACACGTACGAGACGCCCGGCCGGCGTTCCGCCGCGTGCCCCTCCTCCGCCACCTCCTCCCGGGAGCCGAGGTCGAGGAGGGGCAAGGGGCGCGGGAGAAGGGGGGGGCCGCGGGGCTGGAGATGGAGGACGAGTAGGGAGGAGATGGAAGAGCAGGAGGACGAGTAGAGGGCGTGATCGTGAGCAGGGTCAGGAGCAAGGTGGCAAGGAAGAGGAGCACGGAGAGTATGCAGGAGCAGGTGCACGAGGCTCACCAGCCGGAGGAGGAGGACAAGGAGGAGTCAGAGGAGGAGAAGGAGGAGGACCAGTGTAAGCCCAAGACTCATCAACGATGTTGCAATGAGCCCCCCCTCCAAGTTCCGCCGTCACAGGCCCCTACAAGGTTTTTGTTCATTGGGGGAAGAGCCCTGTTGGAAGACAACCGTTTGAAAGTCCTGAGCTGTGCCAGAACAAGAGAATCAGCATCAGGCGGAGAAGAGGGAAGGATGCATGAGAATGATGGGGAGGAGAGGCAACAGCAGGAGCATCAGGGCAAGGAGGACGAGGAGAAGTCACAGCCCTGGGAGGGGGGTGGGGCGCTCCAGCGCCCTGGCGGCTTCCACAACGCCCTGTGGAGGGCTGCCTACGACAGCGACAGGCCGCCGCCCGCCCGCCTCCGCTTCCCTCGCCTCCTTGCCTCCCGCCCGCCTCATCGTCGTCGTCGCCGTCGTCGGCCGTCGTCGACGTCGGCCGTCGTCGTCGTCGTCGTCGTCGTCGTCGTCGTCGTCGTCGTCGTCGTCGTCGTCCCCTCCGTCGCCCCTTGATCCTGGGGAGGAAAAAACCACCCCGATCCCCTAAAAGGCTTCGCCCGTCGGGGTGCTGACAATGAGGGTGGATCTTCTGCCCTCTCTTGATCCCGTGGAGCACCTGCCTGTCCCGGGGCATCATGAGGCGCGGGGCCGGCCTCCCCGTCGCCGCGAGCGGCTCTGAGGCGTCGCCCGTGCGAGGCCCGCGCGGCCGGCAAGGGTTCCCGCGGTTTCGGGTGCACCTGCCTCTCGGCTGCTCGCTCGCTCGCCTCATCCGACGCCCTCCCTAGGTGAGGCGGGAAGGCGCGCACCCGTAGGAAGCGATACCGACTCGGGCCTTGCGCGGGCGATCTAAGCGCAGGGCCTCGGTTGTGGTCGCAGGCATAGCGTGGCGTTCGCGCGCGTACTACGGCGATGTCAGCGCACCCCCGCCCCGACGTGCCCCACTCCGCCCGAGCGCTGCCGTTACCCGAGACCCCCCCACCCCCCCACCCCCGGGTAACGACTTTTTGCGCGGAAATAATAATGAAACATATCGCGAGGCCGCAGCCACCTCTCGGCTGCGCGTTTCCTCCGTCGCCCTCGTCCCTCGCCGCATCGCCCTCCCCATGCCGCGTCAGCTGCCCGCGCACGGCCTCTCGGCGCAGCGGCCCCCAGCGCCAGGCGCGGCCTGCGGGGTGGCGGGCGTTGGGGCCACCCTCTTCCCACTTCCCGAGCGGTGCGATCCCTCCTCCTGCGCTGCGTTGCGCTGCGCTGCGCCGGCGGCAGCATGGCGGACTTCGCAGAGCTGGCTGCGCGCCGCATCGCGCAGCTCCCAAAGGTGCCCGATTAGGGAGTTCCCCGCCAGGCGTCGGCGGTAGCGCCTGCCGCCTGATTCGCCCGGCAAAAAGCGATCCTTCCTCCTCCTCCTCCTCCTCCTCCTCCTCCCCTCCCCCTCCTCCTCATCCTCCTCCTCCTCTTCTTCTCCTTCCTCCTTCCTCCTCCCTCTCCTCCTCCTCCTCCTCCTCCTCCTCCTCCTCCTCCTCCTCCTCCTCCTCCTCCTCATCCTTCTCCTCCTCCTCGTCCTTCTATTCCTCCATTCCTTCCCTTCTAGATAATGTCTCCCTGTCGCAGTTCGGGGCCGTGTTTTAGGGCGGTCCGGGCGTTTCGCTTTGGACTTCCTCACCATCTGCGACCCTGAAGCTTGAAAAAGTGGCAACACTTTCACAGATGGAGAGCGGGTCGTTTTCAAAATGTGGCTCTCGCCTTAGCGCCGCGCACATCCGTTTTAAACGTTTGCAAGAGTTTCACGGATTGGGGGCGGGTCGTTTTCAAAATGTGGCTCTCGCCTGAGCGCCGCGCACATTCGTTTTCAAAATGTGCAAGAGGTTCACGGGTTGGGGGCGGCTCCTTTTCAAAAAGTGGTTCTCGCTTGAGCGCCGCGCACACTCGTTTCAAAAGTTCGCAAGAACTTACCGGATTCAGGGCGGCTCCTTTTCAAAAGGTGGTTCTCGCCTTAGCGACGCGCACATGTGTTTTTATATGCAAGAGTTTCACGGATTCCCATGATCAGCGTACCAGGTATGGAGTGTTGGAAGGATTCAGGATTATGAGGGTGCAACAGTTACGTTGGCTCGCGGTGTTGAAGTCCTAGGAACGGCGTTCTCTCACGATTCAGGACCGTCAAGACGCAACAGTCAGGTTGATCCGTGGCGTTGGAATCCAGAGAACGATCTTCTGGCACGCATCAGGGTCTTCAAACGGTTGCTTTCCAAAGAGGCAGCTCCCTCAGTGGAAATAAACCCTGGTAGGGGCCTATGAAGAGGGAGCTTGGAGGGAGCGTTTATTCCAACATCGTTGATGACTCGTGGGTTTACACTGGTCCTCCTCCTTCTCCTCGCTCATGATTGTTTTGAGAAGGCAGGGGCCTCGACAGGCTCCCTCTCTTGCCTGCCTCCCTCTCGCCCCCCCCCACCCCCCCACCCCCTCCTCGCCCTCAGCTCCCTGCCCCCCCGTCCCCCCCTTGGCCGGGAGGGCACTGGAGCGAGCGACAACGACAGCAGCGGCCCGCCTCTGCGCGCCTCCCGCGCGCGCGCCAGGCAGGTGATCCAGGCAGGCACATGCTTCGTGCGTCGTGACCCCCCACACCGATCCCCTCATGTTCCCCCCATGGACCTTTCCAGTGCCATCCCCATTGCTGTTCTCATTGCAGCTCGCACCTGGCCTGGTCATTGTGCGCCCAATCTCCATATTGCACGCGGGAGGAGCACTGCAGGCCACGATACTCATGGCAGCTGCTCTGGAGGGCACGCTTGCTTTCACCAAGTTTCTTACGTGCGCCGGAGTGCCAGCCAAAGTGGGGGAGTTCATGGTCAAACAAGGCCGCAGGGCGGCTTCGGCTTTCAATATATATATATATATATATATATATATACATATACATATACATATACATATACCGGGCTACATGAATGAGGGCCCCCGGCCCGGTGCCCCGAACCCCCATGAGTGGTGCGGGCCTCCGGGGGCGTTCCCAGGCGCGCGCCGGGCCCCCAGGAGAGTTCCCGGAGACGCCCAAGACAGGCAACGCGGGCCCTAAAGATGGCCAAGAGACCCTCAAGAGGCCCCGAAGACGCCCAAGATGGCCCCAAGACAGCCTAAGAAGCCCCCAAGACGCCCCAAGAGCCTCAAAGAAGCCTCCGAAGTGCGCCCCGAAAAGTCAAAATCGTTGATACTCCATTGTGTTTTTCTATGTTTTTTGCTTTCTCGCCTTATCACTTTGCCGACGCTCCAAGACGGCCGAAGAGGCCCCCCAGAGCGCCCCAAGACAGTCCGGGAGGCCCCCAAGACAGCCCCAAGACGGCTCTGGAGGGCCCCCAGACAGCCCAAGAGGGCCCACAGGGCCCCGAGAAAGTCCCAAGAGTGGGCCCAGAGGGCGACCAAACATTCAAAAGTCTACTTTTCCGCCCCGAGAGGGCCACGGGAGGCCCCAAGAGGGCCCCCAGAGGCCCCAAGAGACCACCTCCAAGAGGCCCCAAGGACGCCCCCAAGAGACCCCCAAAATACCCCAGGAGGCCCCGAACCGGCTCCCCCAGAGACCTCAAATTTGCCGCCCAGAAGCCCCCGAGAGGCGTACCACGAACGAACACTCAAGAGGCCTCGGACCCACAACCCTGGCACGGTGGCGGGACGGTCGTCCTTGTCGTCGTCGAGGGCCGGTCTCGATGCCTGAGCGATTGCCAGATCTGCGACTGCAGTTCTCCCGACCGCCTGGTGGGCGATGCGGTGGCGTTGTGCGGCTACGGTGCTGGCCACGGCGCTCGGGGGCGACGTGGTGTTAGGTTGCATGATGACGCAGAAAGTCACACACACATACACATATATATATATATATATATAAGAGTGACGGGGCTGAACCGAACGGTCATTCACTGTCCCAGGGTGCGTGGCTGAAGTGGACTTCCGCGATGCCGATTATTGTTGTTGTTGGTGGTGGTGGTGGTAGTGGTGGTGGTGTTGTTGTTGGTGGTGGTGTTGTTGATGTTGATGTTGTTGTTGTTGTTGATGTTGTTGTTGTTGATGTTGTTGTTGTAGTTGTAGATGTTAGTTGTTAGTTGTTAGTTGTTTGTTGTTGTCGTCGTCCCACCCGCGACCCGCCCCGCGACCCACCCGCGACCCACCATGCGCGATCCACCCCCGACCCACCAGCGACCCACCCCGCGACCCACCCCGCGACCCACCCCGCGACCCACCCCGCGACCCACCCCGCGACCCACCCGCGACCCACCCGCGACCCACCCCGCGACCCACACCCACGACCCACCCCGCGACCCACCCCCGTACCCACCCGCGCCCGCGACCCACCCCGCGACCCACCCCGCGACCCACCCCCCGACCCCAGACCCACCCGCGACCCGCCCGCGACCCACCCGCGACCCACCCGCGACCCACCCGCGACCCATGCTCGACCCACCCGCGACCCGCCCGCGACCCACCCCGCGACCGGCCCGCGACCCACCCGCGACCCATTCGCGACCCACCCCGCGATCCAGCCACATTGCTTTACCGAAAAAATCGGCGCCTGCGGCGGGCTCGATGCATAATTTGAAAAACTTAGGCGCCTGCGGCGGGCTTCTTCCGAGCCTCGCAGACTGACGACGTCCTCGCCGCTCCCTCACTCTTATCCGCAACTGCGGGGTGCTATATATAAATATATATATATACATGCATACAAACATGCATGCATACATACATGTGCATGTGCATGTGCATGTGCACATGTACATGTACATGTACATGTACATGTACATATGCATGTATACAGACATACATACCTACCTACCTATCTACCTACATACATACATACATACATACATACATACATACATACATACATACATATATATATATATATGTGTGGAGGGGGTCCCGGGGGGCCCGGAGCGCACTGATTTCGTACCTGGCTGTTTTGGACCCGTCGGGGGGCGCCAGAACGCGTCAAAGGAGGGGAAGGGGGGCGACGAGAGGGCCCGAGAGACGTCCAAGAGGGCGCCAAGATGGTCCAAGAGCGCTCCAAGAGAGGCCAAGACCGCACAAGAGCGTTTTAACATTGGTTCAACATAGCTTGCAGACAGCTCAAGAGGGCCTCAAGACGGCCACGATGCCCTCCAAAGGACTCCCACGAGGCCCTCAGGAGGCGAAACAATGCGTCTTTTTGTTTTCTCTGGTTCTTGAAGGTTTTTCGTGTTCTCGCTTTTTCCTGCTTCCGACGGTCCAAGACAGCCCACGAGGCCCCAGAAATCATTTCAAGACGGCCCAAGTGGCACCCACAGAGGGCGCCAGGACGGCGAAAGAGAGTCCCAAGACGGCCCAA